AACGATAATTATTAAGGTTCAAAGCGCTCAGACCAATATATAAAAAGTTCTCGCAATTTTCTGTATCACCGATTGAAAATTTTCTAGGTCAGGAAGAGTGAGAAATTTTTTTGGAATTTTGATTATTTTATTGAAGTTCTGAGTAGCACCTCAAGAGTTCTAACGATAATTATTAAGGTTCGAAACGCTCAGACCAATATATAAAAAGTTCTCGCTATTTTTTGTATCGCCGATCGAAAATTTTTGAAGTCCCGAAGAGTGAGAAATTTTTTTGGAATTTTGATTATTTTATTGGAGTTCCGGGTAGCACCTCAAGAGTTCTAACGATAATTATTAAGGTTCGAAACGCTCAGACCAATATATAAAAAGTTCTCGCAATTTTTTGTATCACCGATTGAAAATTTTCTAGGTCAGGAAAAGCGAGAAATTTTGTTGGAGTTTTGATTATTTTATTGGAGTTCTGAGTAGCACCTTAAGAGTTCTAACGATAATTATTAAGGTTCGAAGCGCTCAGACCAATATATAAAAAGTTCTCGCTATTTTTTGTATCACCAATCGAAAATTTTTGAAGTCCCGAAGAGTGAGAAATTTTTTTGGAATTTTGATTATTTTATTGGAGTTCCGGGTAGCACCTCAAGAGTTCTAACGATAATTATTAAGGTTCAAAGCGCTCAGACCAATATATAACAAGTTCTCGCTATTTTTCGTATCACCGATTAAGAAAATATTCTAAGTTCCAATAAAAATAAAATTTTTTTGGAATTTTATTTTTTCGTTGGAGTTCTGGGTAGCACCTCAAGAGTTCTACAAATAATTCTAATGATATTTTTAATTATTTCCGACGATTAAGCTGTTATCGTCAATTTTGTGATAACGTTTTGTGAAGTTAGCACCCCATACTTTCAATAATTGATTTTTGTCTAATTCGCCGGAACTATTTATAAATTTTATGGAGAACTCTAGAACTCTTTGGGGTGCATTCAGAACTCTAAAAAAAATTGATTTTTTTAAAATGGGGTGCCAACTTCACAGAGGTTAATTATGTATGTTATGATATGTTATAATTAGTATGACATCTGTTCTATTGTTATAATAATATATTTTTAATTATATTATTGTATATCTGTGCTTGAAAATTTTCTATATTTAAAATAAAGAAATAAGAAGCTGGAAAATGATTATAAATTAACAAAGATTATATTAAACAAATTCTCGTTAAAATCGCGCACGATTTATTTGATTGAAAACCATCAACTGTTTAGCGGTGTCGCAATTTATAAAATTGAGGCCGAAAAGCAGTCTACTAGTTAATTTCTTGCATCAATATTGACCAAAATATGAGAACTCATTGTTGAATTGTTATAACAACGTTTGCATAATACACGTACGTTGCCGCTCGATTAAACGTTGATCGACTTTGTTAGATTAACGTATTACACAGAGTTGATTTTCGAAGAACAATTTGGTGCTTTTTTTAAACGTGTACAGCGCAAATCTGACCATTTGCCAAAAAACCCAACAAATCTATTTAATTAATTTTGTCATAAAATTGATAGCATCGCGATAAAAAAAACATGCCTAACAAGTTATAAAAAATTATATTGAATTTTACTGTAGATTCCACAATTTTCATCTATGAAATAAAATAGAATTCAGCACACGAACTACATCGAATGGAGGAATTTCTGCGAGACATGTTATAAAGTCGTATTGATTTTATATTTGATATTTTTCAGCGAGCTACACACTTAACGATGCTATGAAACGAACCAGACAATGGCCGTTCACGATGTGTATCCGATAGTTCGGGAAGGATAATAATGTGTATGCTACTTTAATAACGACGAGCGGCGAACGAACCTGTTATTCTTGGTTGGTTTATACACGCCGTCAAGACGATAAATTTTGCTTACGGTAACGCTTTACCGCGTATAGAGATTAGAAGGACTCTCAGGATATCCAGGATACTCGCCCGAGTATGTACCATGATATTGCTCGATAAACCAGCCTCTTTGTTTCGATTTAACGCGAGCGCCACATCCCTAACAGGCGTTACCATTCACAACCAATTATCTAATCCATCTATTGTTACCGCGAACGGAATGGATTTAACGCAGCTGAAACCAATTGCACTGTTCATTTTGACGGTGGGTTATGACATGAATAAAAATTTTCAGCGAGCGCGCTGCGGTTATCTCGTATTTTTAAAACTGAAATAGTTCGGATTTGTGCCAGAAAAATAAACTACCTAGTATCTGAACACATTTTGCAACTTTCTACAACTGTGTGGAAACGGCGCGGGCTTTCAGGAATAAATCATTTTTGACGTGCAGGGAGCCATGAGATTAATGAGCGTGAGATGTTTTTTAACTTCAGCGAAATTTCTTACGGGCGTGTGTGCAATGCGACATCGTCTCATTACACCAACGAATTTTCTGCGCTATAAGTTCGAGTTCAAATTGCCATTTCTTGCGCGGAGACGTGGATTATGGAAATGCGAATAAAATTATAATTAAGCATAGTTTCGTCGAAAATAAAATGTGCACAAGAAATATATTAATCATGCGAAGTAACACTCACCCTTCTTCGATGCGTGGAACGAATCATATTTTGGCACGTACTGGATGTCGTATTCCAGCGTGGTCTTCGGCAGGATAATCTTGTCCTTGTTGATCTTGTAAACGGCGTACTTGAAGGCCAGCTCTGTGCTGCTATCCTTTTGGTCATGAGTGAATATAGCACCTGAAAAGTAAACAGGAGTATGATCGCGTTAATCCTTAAAGTGGAACAGCGAATATCATTTTGAATGAGAATATTATCCCATAGTGATAATACTCTCCAACGATCAAAGTTCGTCCATCCATGCTAATAAACTATAAGCTCCGAACAAGCTTGAATCTCATGTAACGAAACTTATGCACAATTTTAATAGCATTTTGTGCGTTTCATTGTGGCTATATATCAAATAATTGCTTCATGATGTGAATTGAATTAATGATTTAATTACGATCTAGAATATTAGTGCTATTTGTTGTTATATAGTGTTATCACTATGAGATGAATTAATTTTAATGAAGTTTAGTAGGAATATCTAGTTTCAAATTCAAATAAATTAACTTACAACAAATTCACGCACATATTAAATTATATCAATCACAATTATATCACAATCAATAGTAAAAAAATGTCAAATCAAATTGATTTAGCAACTTGTATTGATTTTTCCATATTCTTCCATACGAATCACCTGTTAATTAATATTGCGAATTAAGCAGAGTGCGAAATAATGCCATATAAAAGATTGTTTCATATTACGTATGCCGTATAAAAGATGATGTCATGTCTATTATGTTCGATGCTACGCATCGAATATACATTAGATATTATATAATCATAATTATATAAATGTATCTAATTTCGTTGACATCGAATTGAATTTAATCTCGAAACAAAGAATAACTGCGTAAAACTGCGTAAAATACATAGAATCTTCAGAATATTAAAACTGTTATTGTTATGTGATAAATATTAAAAACAAAAATAAAAAGTGATATGTTTGAATGGAAACTGCATTCTAATAACACCTATTCATTGAATGATACCCGATTATACAGCCGCCAGGTGTCCAATAGCGCGTCAAAAGTCATCCCTCTGCAGGATTTTTCAAAGAGGTCACGTTTGAAAGTCCTTGAGAATATACTTCCAATTCATCAAACAATCGTAAGAGAGTAACTCTAGACACATTTCGTCCTCATTTATTATCGTTAACTATTCCGTTCTTTGAGAAAAAGGAATACTTAAAGATGCTTCGCATTGAAAAGGATTAATCTTCTCTCTTTTCATATTCAGAGTCTCATCGTAAAATGCCCGGGGTCGTTTACGGAAACTAACGTCCGGGCGTCCTTCGACGCGATAAAAAGCGGCAGGATGCATTCCTGACCTAGTACCAAGGGCGATTTTATGGTTAAATGCAATAGTTAAAAGCGACGATTAGCATTTCGCCTGATGAATGTCCGTTTCTGATGAAAGCTTGATGAAAGCTTTCTCCGACAACGTAAAATAAATGGCGTGTAATCGTTCCTGTTAAAAAATATTTCTAGTTTACAAAATTTTAAGATTTACATAGATTAATATTTGTGTTCGATCGATAATAAAATTCATAGTAATATCATTTAATTCCTTTTGTCTTTTAATTGAATTTCTTCTAGCTTTGTCATGCGACATGATATATAATAATATAACGGTTTTTATATGTCTCTATTTCTTTTCTAAATTTTTTAGATATGTATCTTAAAACTATTACACAATAACTAGTGAGTGATAAGTTAATAATTGCAAGCGCATACTTATTTAGAAATTTGCAATGCATGCTGCTGAATTTACTAAACATACTATTATTACCCACCAAAATTACAAAATTAAATTTCTAAACATTTTTTTGCACCAATTACTTCAATCTATCATCATGTTAGACATGACAAAATTACTGTCGCTAAATATTATTATTAAATAAACACAAATATTAACTTATACAAAAGACTTAACTTATATAATAGAAATATTTTGAAACACTTTTTGAAGCATTTAGTTGTTTTATATATACACATAAAACATCGTTATATCACACTGACAGTGAGCAATGATAAAACAAAGGCCAATAAGCTATTTTACAACTTAACAATTGACCTCATAAATTTTAATTTCTAATGAATAATAAAATCTTGTACACAACAATATTTTAACGTTTATCTAACAATCTAATGCATCTGTAACGATATGAAAACTGGTAACAGTAAGCCTGTAAATAAAGCTGCATACATAGCAAATTTTTAAATAAATATGCGCGTGCAATCGTTAACTTATCACTTACTAGTTACCATGTAATAACTTTAAAATACATATCTAAAAAATTTAAAAAAAAACAGAAGCATATAAAAACCACCGTTCAAAGAAATTTTTTTCATTATAAAAATCGTTTGTCTCTAACATAATATAAACATTTCAAACGTTTACTTTTATGAACGCTTGCTCGTCCAAATCATTAGAATTGTTCTCTTTTAAATAGATGAAATAGTGAAAAGTATATGTATAAAATTTGTATTAGTGTGTGGCTGAATACTCTTGATATTTAAACGCTTCTTCCATTTTTTATCACGTAAGTAGCAAACTTGCTAAATTGTATTATTTAATCTAGTAAATAACCAAAAAAGTTCTTGTCATTTTTCGCTAGTCATAATTCTCGCAATTGTTTATGTCAATCATGATTAGTTATGCAGGGAATTTTTTTCACTGTAACATACATACCTCACGTTATTTAATTACTGTGTTTTAAGTTATAAAGTTCAAGTTAAATAAATATTTTTACCTCTTAAAATGTCTGTTTAAATAAGTGTCATTTGTGCTCATTTATTATACGAGTAAAAACGGATTCAAAGCATCAAAAACTTACCGAAAAATTTAAAGAGAAGTAGTCAAGTAAAGGACTGCAGTATTGATTTTAAAAATTTGTATAAAAAAAAATCTCTGAAAGATGTTTTCCGGTCAGAAAGATCGACATCTCTGAATAATGACGAATTAAGAGTAGCAATCGTGGCAATTCGCAATTAACGTGTCAAAAACTTGCAATTGCATTCAATGTAAATGATGAAATCATCAGATAATATTTACAACAATCTTTCTTACAATTCCAAAAAATATGACTATCTAAAACGACAAAAACTTCTTAGTTACTTAATGTACAATATTTATATACTGTCAATAATGTCATTTAAAATCTTTAAATTTATTTAATAATTTCTTAACAGACACCAAAGATGTTAGGATTTCTTGAAATTTTATACGTATTCATCGCTTTCTTTATTGTACTATATTATTATTACAAGATAAAATTCAATTTCTGGAAAAAGCGTGGTATACCTGGGCCCAAACCTATACTATTTTTCGGCAACACAAAAGATGTCATATTGCGAAGAATGAACATAATGGATTTTCACAAAGAGTTATACAATAAGTATAGAAATGAGCCACTAATAGGATTTTTCTACCAAACAGAGCCATTTTTATTCGTCAATGATCCTGAAATGATCAAGGATGTCTTAATTACAGATAGTGCAGTATTTGCAGGACGAGGTTCTAATTATTCTGAAAAGGTACGTAAAGTATTTAATTTCTACTTAATAACATTTACTATTTTATTTTTTATTGCGTGCGTTAGATTGAAAATTAAGTATAAAAAAAGTATTTGTTACTAAAAAATTTCTCAATGAGGTTCCTTTAAATTTAATTTGAACTATATGGAACACAGTTCTAATACTTCTAAGCCAAATACTTAAATTTTATAAAATTTGATAAAATTTGCCGTCAATATTGCTAACATTTTGCTTACTGAAATTCTAATATTCAAGTAGTTCTAATACAACAGATTAATGATACATTGGACAAATAATTCTATATATTTTCTTAGATACTTAGATAAAAACTGCAAGGTTTTTAATCATGATATAAAAGTCATTATATAAACTCTACAAATATTTTTGCAGGCAGATCCGTTAGACCATCATATTTTCAATATGAAATCAGACAAAGCGAAACTTATAAGAGCAAAAGTATCGCCTATGTTCACAGCAAGCAAACTTAAGACCATGGTTCCTTTATGTCTAGAACGCTCGGAGATTTTCAAAGATTGGTTAGACACGCTGTTATCGCGAAATGAGAAGATAAATTATAGTGACGTGATAGAAAAATATACCAATGACTTGAGTACTACTTGTCTATTTGGTTATGACTTGGAGGCTCTCAAAAATGGTGAAAATAAAGTTTTACAACAAATAAGAAAAAAAGTTAATGCCAATACATGGAAAAATATATGCAAATCATTGCTACCAAATATAGTAATGCAGAAAAAATTATATGATTTAATCGGTTACTATATGTTTGGCAATGCGCAAAAATGGCAATTTTTTACCGCATTAGTCAAAGATATTGACAGTTACAGAAAAAAATATGGTATTGATAGGCACGATCTTACTGACGTGATCATGGGATTGAAACAAAACGGTAAGTTAACTGAAAAAAGGTAAGTTGACAGGTAAAACAATTTACAATTCTTAAAATTTCTATAGTTCGAAGAAATAAGAAAAAGTTGATACAAAGTATTCATACTTATTGAATACTGATGCTATACAACAAAGTGTAAATATTTAAAGTACAACTTTTTATATTTTTTTTCTGCAAAAATTACAGATCAGTTGGTTGTTGCAAATGTCTTTACATTTCTTTTGGGCGCATGTGATACAACTTCCGGAACAATAACTAATATAATGTATGAATTGGCTTTAAACCAATCGATCCAGGATAAACTCCGTGAAGAAATCAAAAGTGTACGCGAAAGGATTAACGGAAAAGAAATAACATATGATGATATGAACACAATGGCTTACTTGGATGCGGTATTTAAAGGTAAATACAACTATTATGCAAATACGATTATTTAGTAAAAAAACAAATAGCTGACTAACTTGAAAATTGTTTAATAAATAATAAATATCTTATTCTACAAATATATATTCCCCAAATATATATATATGTATGATAATCTTGTTAATTTTTAGCAGTTTGGTTTTAATAATAGCTAACATAACTCCTATTTTGTTTGTAACAATAACAAATCTACTTAAAATTTTACTATTATTATATTTTCAGACATTCTTATCTCCTTATAAAAAACTGGTCAAATTGTTCCGAATTGCTTATATTGGTTCTTAATTTCCTAACATTCTTAATTCTTTGGTAAATTTTTAACTATATTTTGTACTCAAATAAGGGGTTCAGAAGAAAAATGGACCAAAGTCCTTTTGTAAATCCACGTATAAATTAGAAAAAACTGGACAGTTTTCACTGAATAATTTTAAATTGAATGCAAATGTTTATGTTAAAATTAAAAGAAACTACAGCATGTATAAAAAACAATACACACAATTAGAACAATTTTAATTTAGAACTAATTTCTAACAATTAACAATTCTAAAAATATTTTAAAGAATGGACTTGATCCACTTTTTATTCACTTTAAAAATTTGTAGTTAAAAAAAATAAGAAATTGCATTTCAGCTATAATTTTTAATGATTTCCAGAAACGCTCCGAAAATATCCGCTAGGAGAGATAATAATGAGACAGGCTATGTCACTCTACACTTTTAGAAATTCTGAAGTCACCATCCCGAAAAATCAACTAGTTGGTATACCTGTTTGTGGTATTCATTATAATCCAGATATATATCCGAAACCAGAAGTTTATGATCCTGAAAGATTCATAAACCATCGATCCAAAAACATCAAAAAATTCCATGTATTATTTCCCCTTCGGACATGGTCCAAGAAATTGGTATGTAAAAACAATGTTAAATTATTTCAATAAATAAAGCATCACTGATTAATGTAATAATTAAAAAATCATACAACAGAAAATTATATAAAAATTATTCTTTTGTCTTTTATGGTTATTAATAATATTCCGTAGGTGAACGGTTTGGGAAATTGCAAACAAAAATATATATATGGATTATTACTATCATAGAAAATTACAAAATGGAACCATGTGAGAATACAAAAATGATGAATGACTGGATAATTGGAGCTCAAAAAGCAAGAAACATGCATTTTAAATTGACTAAGATCAATTGATGCTTATGCGTAGTCTTCATATCTTGCACTAATGTGTTAATTAGGATATTTAAATGTTAACAAGACAAATATTAATATTATAAGATTTTTTTAAAGTAGTATAAAAAGCATTTATTCACAGAAATAATGTATCTATTATTTTATATATCCCCCTAGAGTTCGAGTTTCTTAAATTTTAAGCATTTTAGTTTCAGTTTTATTTTTCTCAAATTTCTGGGAGTTTCTTTATACCTTTTTCCAAAAAGATTTTTGGACGAGTACGTATCCAGTTTTGCACGTAGCTTTGTCGGCTCATTCTCGTCAAATGAGGATGTTCGTGAACCTAGCATATCATTTTCCAGCAGATCAAAAATAAAAGAGAGTTCTTGTCGCATGCAGTCGAGTTCTATAGTTCCTTATAGTTTTTAGTAATAGTTCTGGTGATTTTATCCAAAAAAACACCAATCGAAAAAATGATCTGCTAACTTCCCGTAGCAGATCATTTTCTAGCAGATCAAAAATAAAAAAGAGTTCTTGTCGCATGCAGTCGAGTTCTATAGTTCCTGATAGTTTTTAATGATAGTTCTGGTGATTTTATAAAAAAAACACCGATCGAAAAACGAAGTTATTACGTCTGCTACGGAAAGTTAGCAGATAAAAAATAGAGGACACTGAACATATATGTGATATGCTGGCCGTATATTGATAGTTCTGTTGATAATTAAAGAGTTTTCGTGTAGTTCTGAGCGAGTACATTGCTTTTCCAAAAAGTTCTGACGACTAAAATAATTAGAAAATTTTTTAAACAATTATTTTACCCGAAAAACACGCATTTTTGAGCATATATGTGATATGCTGGCCGTATATTGATAGTTCTGCTAATAATTAAAGAGTTCTCTTCTAGTTCTGGGCGAGTACATTGCTTTTCCAAAGAGTTCTGACGACTAAAATAATTAGAAAATTTTTTAAACAATTACTTTTTATTTCTAATAAAATTTTATGGGTAAAATTAATTATATTTAGTAAACAAATTATATCGCCAAGTTGTTGAACGTATAAGTATCGAGGCTCTAGTTGATATTGGAAAGTTCTCAATAACAATATCCATCAATAGTAATAAAAATAATTGTTAACAATTTTTATCATCTTTTCGCTTATGTAATTGTGATACGTTATTGTATATTGGGGGATTTTTTCGAACTATATATTTAATACTTCTATACATTTCAGAAAAGTTCTGGTTTTTAATATTTAAATAATTGTTAACAACTTTTATGAACTCTACTATATGATTGTGAATATACTCGGCGTACGAAGAAAAACTTCAAGGATATGAAAAAATTATTTGTATAACAGTAATTATTTTTCAATAATTTATTATATAAAATTATATAATTATATAAAATTATATAATTATATAAAATTATAAAATTATATAAAAAATTTTCTAATTATTTTAGTCGTCAGAACTCTTTGGAAAAGCAATGTACTTGCCCAGAACTGCACGAAAACTCTTTAATAATTAACAGAACTATCAATATACGGCCAGCATATCACACATATGCTCAAAAATGCGTGTTTTTCGGGTAAATTAATTGTTAAAAAATTTTCTAATTATTTTAGTCGTCAGAACTCTTTGGAAAAGCAATGTACTCGCCCAGAACTAGAAGAGAACTGTCTAATTTTTAGCAGAACTATCAATATGCGGCCAGCATATCACACATATGCTCAAAAATGCGCGTTTTTCGGGTAAATTAATTGTTTAAA